TTACTTAATAATTTTAGCCCTCCGAGAACATAAGCTCTACAGGGACCAAATTTATTAGGCAAGTAACAGCTTGTGTGAGGTATTCATGGTAACCTCCAAGAGTTTAAAAACTCTACAAGGAAGCCACTACTAACCTCTACTAACCTATGGTACTCACAGACCCGGGTATAGGGCCCAAAATATGTGTGTGTCAAATTGTGTAAGTGTATAGTGTGTGATGAGAGCATGCAAGCATGCTATCTTATTCTCATATGCTACCCAACTCTCAACTTTTAATCAGATCAAATAGAGAAACAAATATATGTACAAATAAAAGTCATCTATCTTAAGGTTTATTCCGCATGTTATCTATCCTAAGACATGTTATAAGAATCAAAAGAGAGAGAGAGAAGAAAAAAAAAAAAAAAAAGGAAAAGAAGCGGAAAAAGCCCACACAAATTAAAAGGGATAATAATAATAAAAGAAAACCATATTATATTTTGAGCGCAACAAATTTATACAGGCTTGACTCTCATACTTTCCCCAGTGGAGTCGCCAACTGTCATACCCAAAAAAATGCGACGCGGACGGCGCTCGAGCGGAGGTCCCGGCCTTCGCGGTGGGAACTAGATCGAACGAGGAGTTGCCACCAAGATTTTAAGGTAAATCTCGGGAAACCGATTAAATGGAGGATAAGGGTGGTCTGCGAAATCAGAGAATGGGTTCGGGAGTTGGTTGAGTGTGGGGAAGGTGTTAGGCACCCCACAACACTCGTTCGTCAGAACGGTTACCTGAAGTTTGTTGTGCTCTATTAATATAGTTTTATAATTATTTTAATTATCCCTTTTATATTCATGTGTTTGATATAAAAATGATAAGAATTAAGTGAGAAATGTTTATTTATTTACAAGGGAGGACGGACTTGACTCAGAATCTGACTCTGAGGCCTACGTACCCTGTGATGGGGATCAAAGTCCACGTAGTTCGAGCTTGAAAATTGTTGGTGAAAATATATTTTTTGAAGGGAAATTAATTAGAAACAATTCACCATTTCGCAAATAAAACAATTTCTAAAATTTTGATATATGTGTTTTAAATTGCAAAAGGTGATTATTTTCTCCATTTTTGAATTCTTGGAATAAAGAAAGAAAAGAGTTTAAGATTATTGTTATTATTATTATGTTTTATGATTGAAAATTTTAATCGCAGTACCTGCAGAACCTTATTGGTTCATATGATAACGCAATCGCTCTAAATATCTGCAGAGATTCTGAAATCTCACACGATAAAAGAGTTTGGCCATTTAATTTATTTATTATATTTCTATGTGTATCTTTAATAATAATTTCACTTAAGTATGTATATATTTTTAAAGAATTTTAATCATCATACCTGTATAGCCTTGTTGGCTTATACGGTAATATGATTTATCCTAAATATCTGCGGAGATTCTAAAATCTCACATGATAAAAGAATTAAATTTAATTAATTGATTTAATTAATTATATAATATATATGTGTGTATATATTTAAAAACTAAATCGTTATATCTGCAAAGTCTTATTGACTTATACAATAATACGATGATCTTAGAAGCCTACGGAGATTTCAAAAATCTCACATGACTAAAAGATATAATCAGTAAATATGGTTACAGGTTAAATGCATTAATTTGATTAATTAATTTTTAAATTGCGTATTATATGATTATTTACAAAATAAAAATTGAGAATCACTATACCCGCGAGGATTTATTATCCCACACGATAATGTGATTAATTTAAGTCCCTATAAAGATTCTTAAAATCTCATATGAAACTTAAATAGGTTATTTAGATTATAAAAAGATAGTTAGTTTTAACAGTTGGTCATTGAAACCATTGATTATACGTATAAATTGGATCTCTATACCTACGAAATCTTATTAATTTACACAGTATGAGACTACTTTAAATGTTTATGAAAATTCTTAAAATCTCACATGACAAGTAAATGATTAGAGATGAACTTTTCTCTTATTCATTTCATTTTTTTTTGAAATTGGGTAAGAATGAATTCTCTTCCTTCTGCTTTTTATAAAATAGGCTTGTCATAATAAATGAAATCATACATGTAATCGTGATGGAGAATGCCATATGATATGAGTGTAGTAATGTTAATGATAAGTAAAGGACCTTAGCACTAATGGAGATAAAGAAATAATGCTCATACATGTTAATATACACATTTAAATACCTCGCTTAATAATTACACTGATTCTCTATTTGGAATGAAGTTGTGCCTAATAATCAAATTTAGCTTTGCTATGATAGGAAACAAAAATTATTATTTTGCAATTTCTTTATTTTCTTTTTCAAACTCTCTTTTCTTAAAAAAAATATGACAATTGCAATGAAATCATTTGGGAGCTGAAAAATGTGAGACAAAACATTTAAACATGAAATCCATTTTGGAATAGTAAACAAAAATTAAACACGTATATTTTAGATTCAGAAGCAAGAACCTGCGTGTATGGGACGTCCAGATCTGTCTCACTGCTCTTGTCACTCCTCCCTCTTTGATCTCTTCCTCTTCTTCGTTTTCTTTGTTTTGAGAAAATTTTCCTTCACGTCTCAGCCTCTTCTTTCTCCTCTCCATTTCTGTTTCTTCTTTCTCCTCTCTGCCTCTTTCTTCTTTTCCTTTCGTGCTCTGTTTTCTGTTTCTTCCATGCGTACGTTTCTCCTTCCTTTCTCCAGCCAAAAAACGCACTCCTCTTCTTCATTTCCTCTACTTTGTTCCAGCCAGAATAGTCTTTCTCCCTCAGCCTCTGTTTCACCTCTCTCCGTCTCTATCTTTTTTTTTCGTTCAGCTTCTGGCCTCCCTCGTTTCCTTCTCAGCTTTTCCAGAAAGAAAAGCTCCTCCGCCACGTCCTCTCCTGTCTCTGTTTTGCCCTCTCCTCCGTCTCAGCCTCTATTTCACGTCTTTCGGTCCTCTCTCTCCTCTGTCTGAGCTCTCTCTTTCCAGTCACCGTATTCTCTTCCTCTCTAGACTCCTCCTTCTTCGTTTTCATCTTAGCTCTCTCTCCTCCTCGTCTTAGCTCTCTGCCTCACGTCCTTCGGTCCCTCTTCCTCTATATATATATTTTTTATGTTGCTTCTCCTCCTTTTCACTGTTCCCGTCTTCTCCTTATGTAGAGAATGGACAACGTGAATCATTACTCTCCTGCTCTATTTCTTTTGTGTTTCTGTCTCTATTTTCTGTGCCGTCCCATCTGCTTTCTCTGTTGTGCCGTTTCCTTCATGCATGCGTTTGTCCCTGGTTCTGTTTCTTTTCTCCTGCCAGCCGAAAGCATAAGCGTACGTGTTCTGGTTACTTGCTGTTCTTCTTGCTCTATTTGGCTTCTTCTGCATTTTGTGTCTGTTGCCTCTGGTTCTTTCGACGTCCATGGCTCATGTGTTCGTGTGTTCTGCTGTTTCTGTCCTTTTTCCTGCTGCATGGCTAAAAGTGTGTGCTTGTTTTTGTTTCTGTGTCTTTGTGCCTGTGTTTCTTTATTGTTTCTGCATTTCTTTGCTGTGCTTTTTCCTTCTGTTCTCTCGTGTGTGTGTGCAGTTTATGCTCGTGTGTGCCTGACTGTCTGTGATGAAACGCTGACTCTATCAGCGTTTTGTCCAGCTCTTTCTTTTTATTTTTATTTTTTGATTAATGGTTTTGATTAATACACACACACACATATATAAGATATGTATTTAAATGAAAATAGGATTGAGGAGAGAAAAGTTAACTCTCAAAAGTAGACTCCCAATATTCTTGAATGATTGGAAGAATTTGGGAGAAATTTTTCTTTTTCACGATTTAACCTTTCTTTTTTATTTTGTTAAATTATCATTATTATTATTTCTTGAAAATATAATCTTAAAAGGGATTAAATTTCATTTTTATATTATTATTTATTATTATTTTATTTTATATTTTTTAATTTTATTATTAAAAAAAGTTCAGACAAAATACGGTGTTCACACCACAAGAAAAAAAAAATTAACTTACATAGGAGCGGTTTTACTTATCTTCTATTGACATTTGTCATATTTGACACCTTCCTCACTTCCAACCATTTTATATATACAGAGTGGACATCCTTGATATACTCAGCCATATGAGGTCTCTAGTTTCTCAATCGTTGCTATTACGGTAACAGTGCAGCGCTGAATGGGTAGCATTGTAACATACATAAAGTAAGAATTGCATGTTTAACAATTTCTGTTTGGAGATAAAGAGTAACATAAAGAAAGAGCATATTTTTTATGTTTTATGTTTAGGAAACAAACCTCTGAAAGCTCTTGTATTTGTGATATTGGGATCCTTTGCTTCTTGCTAAGTAGTGAAGAAGATGAGTACTCAGAGGAGTAAGGTGACACAAGATGAGTGAACCCCCCAACAGATAAGGAAGGTGAATTTGGTAAGCTGGTTATAAGAGAAACATGAGTTTTCTTGTTGCTACGGGAAAAAAACAGTTATAAATCAATGAAAGTGATTTTCTATAACACTGAAGAAAATCTTTTACGTGGGGGATGTCGGGATTGAACATGATTCTAGTTGTGGAGAGTGAGTTGCATATCTCAGGTTTCTCTGTGCATGTAGGAAATTAAAAAAGCATGCAAACATAAATTCAAGTTGGGTCAAAAATTATTTCACCATTATTTAGCTTCATGCGAGCTAAATTCATGACAACAATAGGAGGATTCATAAGATGAGGTTCCATTTGGTACACACGAGATGCGCAATCTCTGCGAAAAACATAGTTAATTGAATTGTTCCTAAACAAATAGTTTACAAATTAATGCATCAAAAGAAACTAAACATGGGCTACGATAAATGAAAATTGAAGCTGAGTGTAGAAGACAGCTACTCTTGGTCTGTTGTAGGCTGAATGATAGAATATCGTAGTAGTGTTTGTGTCATGAAGGAGGCCCAAAGGAAGTAATGGGCTCCGAGACTGAAGCCCAAGATGTGAATGTCATAAATGATGAGCTGGCATATGGGGATAACCAAACCGAAGAGCATGCGCAGAGTACGGATGATCGCATAGCATAGGAAATGGCTGGAGCACAACCATCTGAGACTGTTCTGAGGCGCAGCACCAGAGCGTGCACTAAGCCATTGATGTTCCGTGAGGCTACATGAAGGGAATTGTAAGGAAAATAGAGGTTAGGCAAATTTTGTTAGAGATTATCTCTCCCTCTATATCTTTCTCTTTGCATTTCCTTCTTCTGTTTTCTCCTTAAGACTATAGAATTATTTTCCCCTGTTCCTATCAATTGCTGTGACTGATAGCTTTTTGGCTGAATAATACTAAACCTCCGAAAATCTTTCATCTAATTGCGTCTATTTTTGGAATCTTTGGTATTTGTAATTCTTTGAGTGTAGGTGATTGTGACATAAGGTGCTTTCATTGAGAGTCCTAATGGCGGATAACCCTCATTTGAAGATTTGCAGAGTGACATCAGGAAGCTCTCAGAGCTTGGTGATCATCGTGACTTCAAGTACACGGTCCGCATGGATCATTTAGAGCACACTTTGACTGAAATATCGACTAGTGTTCAAGAACTGATTTGAGGAATGGCAACACTGAATATGGAAATTGCTATTGGGACTTCGAGCTCAAGGACAGCGATCACCGGAGAAGCTCAGAACTATCAACCCTTTCAACTTAAACAGGCGAAACTTGACTTTCCTAGGTTTGACGGCTCTGAATCGTTACAATGGTTGTTTCGTGCTAAGCAGTTCTTCAACTACTACGAAACGCTGGATGCTCAGAGGATCACGATAGCCGCTGATCACAGGGACGGCTCTGCCACGACTTGGTTTCCAATGATGTAAAAAATGCATCAGTTCTCGAGTTAGGCCACACTTGCAAAAGCTATTGAAGCCCAGTTTGGGCCCACCAAATTTGATTACCCACAAACACAGTTATTCAAGTTAAACTAGTCAGGGTCTGCCTCTGACTACCATACCCAGTTCATGACGTTAGCTAATCGAGTAGAAGGGCTATCGGAAGATGCACTACGAGACTGCTTCATCAGTGGTCTCAAGGGAGACATTCGTCGCAAGGTGGTAGTTAAAGAACCCACAAGTTTGATCAGTGCAGCAGCGTTAGCTCGTTTATATGATGAAAAACTCTAAACTCTAAACCAGTATTCAGTCCTCAAACTGGTCAAGGAGGGGCTCTTTCTTCGAAGGCAACCTTACACCCATTACTCCTTAAACCCACTACCAAGCCGTTAACTCCTGTAAAGTGACTGACTCCAGCAGAGATAAAACTTAAAAGGGACAAAGGGTTATGTTATACGTGTGATGAGAAGTTCACTCCGAGCCATCAATGCCAAAACCAACAGCACACGCTGCTACATTATGAGAATGAAGGGGAAAACGCTGAACTTGTAGAGGAGGGTCAGTCATCCGAAACTCCTTTAGGGCAAGAAGAAACATACGAGTTCCATCACTTGTCTTTACCAGCATTGCAAGGCTTTTCGGGTAAGTGTACCATACTCTTCTGAGGCTCTATTTTGCGTACTAATGTCTCTATGTTCTTGGATGGTGGAAGCTCATATAATTTTATACAGCCAAGATTAGTAAAGCATTTCAAACTACCTATTGAGAAGGTGCCTGATTTTAAGGTCATGGTTGGGGGTGGAAATCATCTGCAGGGCAATAGCGTGGTACGCGAGTTGCCATTGATCATTGATGGAAATCACATCAACATCTCTGCTTATGCTCTGGAAGCTACTGGTTATGATGTCGTACTTGGAGCAGAATGGCTAGCCACCTTAGGGGAACAGTTGGTGAATTACAGCACGGCTACCTTGAAATGTTTACATAATGATCAATGGGTAAACTTTACAAGGTGATAGAGAACATTTACCAAAGGTGGCCCAATTTCACCAACTGCTAAGGCTATGTGAAACTGAATCTATTGCAGAGCTGTACACCATGGAATACCATCAAATTATTCCTAAGGCCAATCAGGAATTCTTAGTACCTGAAGGTGTTGCTCCAGACTTGGCTGCATTATTGGTGAAGTATCAAGAGGTCTTCAAGGTGCCAAAAGGGCTCCCTCCTCCACGTTCGCATGATCATGAGATACATCTGCAACCAGGCATTCCCTCCGTAAAGGTTAGGCTTTATTGCTATCCTCTAGATTGCATAGATACGGGTATGAGTATCCGATACGATACGGCATGATACGGGGATACAGCAAATTTTTAAAATTTTAGGATACGGGTACAGGGATATTTATAATATATATTTCAACATTTTATGATACAAGTATAGGTATTTTGATTTTTAAACAAGAATTTCTAAAGTAACATAAGGATATTTATAGTAATTAACTAAAATATTAAGTGTTTTTTTAAAGTTTTTAAGTGATATAGTAAAAAATTGTTGAAAAAAAATCATATCACAAATGTTAGAATATTGGATACGTATGCAGAAGTATCCTACAAGTATCGTATTGAATATAGGTACGTTTACTTTTTTGAAGTGTCTGTGCTACATTGGCTATCCTTTCAGCCAGAAAAACCGGATTGAGAAATGGTCAATGAGATGTTGGCAAAAGGAATCATCCAACCAAGCAATAGCCTGTATTCAGCACTTGTGTTACTAGTCAACAAGAAAGATGGAACATGGAGGTTCTACACAGATTATAGGGCTTTAAACACTGTCATGATAAAGGATTCTTTTCCTATTCCTTCGGTGGATGAACTACTAGATGAATTGAAGGGTGCCTGCTATTTCTCTAAGCTGGATCTTAGGTCTGGCTATCATCAAATCCTTGTTAAGGAGGAAGACCGAGCAAAGACAGCTTTCAAAACTCAACAAGGGCACTATGAATGGCTTGTTATGCCAATTGGGCTAACCAATGCCCCTGCTACATTTCAGTCACTAATGAATGAGGTATTTCGTTCTTATTTAAGATGATTTGTGCCGGTGTTGTGATTGGGGTACACATCTGGAACATTTAGAAACTGTGCTTGCCTGTTTGTTTGAGCACACAATTGTATGCTAAGCTGACAAAATTGTTCATTTGGACAAACTAAAATGCATTATTTGGGGCATGTTGTTTCTACATTGGGGGTAGAAATGGATCAAGAGAAGTTTAAGGCTGTGGAGGAGTGGCCTATACCATCAAATGTCACACAATTAAGGGGATTTTTAGGCTTAACGGGCTATTATCGGTGGTTTATTAAGAATTATGCAGCCATAGCCTGTCCATTGACAGCTCTTTTGTAGAAAAATAAATTTGTGTGGAATGAGGAAGCTTAACTAGCTTTTGAAAAACTTAAGGCTGTCTTAATTCAAGCACCCAGTTTAGCAATGCCTGATTTTTCTAAGCCCTTCATAGTCGAGACAGATGCTTCGGGCAGTGGGATTGGTGCTGTCTTGTCCCAAGAAAACCATCCCATTGCGTAATTTAGCAAGAAGTTGACCCCTCAGTTACAAGCTCAGTCAACATATGTTTGTGAACTTTATGCAATTACTGAAGCAATGGCGAAGTTCAGACATTACTTAATGGGACACTTCTTCATTGTCCGTACTGACCGAAAAGGCCTGAAACATCTTTCAGAGCAAACGATACAGACCCCTGAACACGAAGCACGGCTACCTAAACTCCTGGGATTCAATTATTCTATTGAGTATAAGCCTGGGAAGTCAAATCAAACAGCAGATGCTCTTTCTCGCTCATTTCATATGGCTGTGACTTTGCCACAAATTGAATTAATTAAGGAGATTCGTGCAGCTGTATCTACAGCAGAAGAAATAAAGGAGTTGATGCAGAAATTCACAGAACAGCCACAAGAAATGGTTGATTATAAATTACTCGATGGTCTCTTGTAGTGGCAGAACGGAAATGTGATCCCATGTGAAGCCACAGGGATAATTTCAAATTAATGACTGAATTTCATTCATCATCTATAGGAGGTCATGCTGGGTTTGTTGGAACCTATACTGGCCTTGCTACTTATTATTCCTGGCAGAACATGAGAAAGGACATTAAGAGTTCATACGCTCCTGTCAAATCTGTCAACGGGCAAAACCCTCCAGCTTCATCCCAGTGGGTTATTAAGCCCATTACCAATACATAATCAGATCTGGGAGGATGTAGCCATGGATTTCATAACCGGGCTACCAAATTCGAATGGATTTTCTGTGATAATGGTAGTTGTTGATAGATTGTCTAAATATGGGCTTTCACTCCCTTAAGAGCTTCTTATAAGAGTGTACAAGTGACTAAAGCTTTTGTGCACGCAGTCGTCAAGCTTCATGGTGTTCTACGGTCTATATTATCTGATCGAGATAGTGTTCATAAGTCATTTATGGCAGCAGCTTTTAAGTTATAAGGAACAACATTGAAGATGAGTTCAGCCTATTATCCTTAAACGAATGGTCAAAGCAAGGCATTGAACTGATGCTTAGAGATGTATCTCAGATATTTTGTCTTTCATGCTCCAAAAGCTTGGGTCACTTTCCTTCCATTGGCCGAGGTTTGGTATAATGCATCTTTTCATTCTTCCATTGGCATGACACCATTTAAAGTGGTGAATGGAAGAGAACCACCTGCTGTGATAAGGCATTCGAACTTGGAAGATGTTGTTGTGGATGTGCAAGAATTTGAAGGATAGAGATGCAGTATTAGAAATACTAAAGTTTAATCTTGAGAAGGCCCAAGCACGAATGAAGAGATTTTCTAATAAAAAGAGAACGGATGTTCAATTTAAGGTGGGTGATTATATTTGTGAAATTGCAGCCATATCGTCAACACTCAGTGCGGTTGAGGCAAAATCAAAAGCTGTCTCCGAAGAATTTTAGCCCTTTGTTAACTCTGGAAAAGATTGGAAATGTTGCATATAAGCTTCACTTACCCACACAAGCCAAAATTCACCCTGTGTTCCATGTTTCATTTCTGAAATAATGTGATGGGTGCCCGAAAGATATATATGTACCCCTGCCTCTTATGACTGAAGAAGAAGCTCCAATTATACATCCTATACGAGTTCTACAGAAGAGGGAAGTACTAGTATCGGACAAATGGAAGTCTCAATGTTTAGTGCAATGGGATGCTGATATGAATTCTACTTGGGAGTTTGAAGATTATCCGCGAAAGAATTACCCAGATCTGGACCTTGAGGACAAGGTCACTCTTAATGGGAAAAGTAATGTCATGAAGGAGCCCAAAAGGAAGCAATGGGCTCCGAGACTGAAGCCCAAGATGTGAATGTCATAAGTGATGAGCTGGCAAATGAGGATAACCAAACCACAGAGCATACGCAGAGTACGGATGATCGCATAGCAGCGGAGATGGCTGGAGTGCAACCATCCGAGACTGTTCTAAGGCGCAGCACCAGAGTGCGCACTAAGCCATTGAGGTTCCGTGAGGGTATATGAGGGGAATTGTAAGGAAAATAGAGGTTAGGCAAATTTTGTTAGAGGACGTATCTCCCTCTATGTCTTTCTCTCTGTGTTTCCTTCTTCTTCTGTTTTCTCCTTAAGACTATAGAATCATTTTCCCCTGTTCCTAGCAGTTGCTGTGACTGATAGCTTTTCGGCTGAATAATACTAAACCTCTGGAAATCTTTCATCTAATTGCATCTATTTCTGGAATCTTTGGTATTTGTAATTCTTTCGAGTGCAAGTGATCATGACAGCTTGTTGTACTTATACTGATTTAAGGAACCAAAATATTTTAGGAAGCCAATGATATCTGAGATGCGAATAAAAGCCTACCAAAAAAAAAATTGTATTTCAAAAATATTGAACAGAGTTCTCGAGGAAAAAGTGCGAGTCATCAGAGTTTACCTATCAGAACATTCATCGATTTTTTTCATTTTTAGAATATCCTTGATCAGTAGAAACTTGAATGAAATTGTTGGTATCCTATTGCAACATGGTTTGATATGCGTTGTTGCATGAAAGTTAATAACAAACGGGCGTGCAACAGTTGGGAAGTTGAGTTTATTCTACTTGACAGTGAAATTTGCGATTTCATAGCGTTCACCTTCTCTTATCTTTCAGTTTATCCGCTAATGGCAGTGACATAATAGATGCTTGTATATCGTCTTCCTGATATAGAAAGAACAAACAATTTAGTTATGTTGGTTAATAATCAAACTCACAAAAATGGCGGGAATAGCGTACCGTTTCATCATGCAACACCATGCTAACCCCAAATGCATTATGTGGGTATCCTGTTTTGGTCATTTTCCATTTATGCAAAACTCTAACACAGACTCTCCATTTATCATTTTTGTCATTGATATCCTTGATTTGCTGAAATTTCTGAGGCTTCATTTTGACTGTTCATAGTGAAAAATAAATTAAGATAATGTTTTCCAGTGCTGTTTAATGATGGGTAATGTGCACCATTTGTATTCATTCACCCGTGTATAATAAATTAGAAGAGACGGAACAATAAATTGAACTAAACGGGTAAACATGTTACCTGAACACGGATTTTGGTACTGATTCAAGAACGGTGGCACGTGTCCACGGTCGCTTTGCTGTTGGACAGCACTAGCCAGATATTTGGAAAATTGACTTGCCTGCTCAGTTGAACTTGTTTAAATAGATACATTCACCGCCTTCAGATCATGGTTGGGCGGGAAAATCTAGCACTTTCTAGAAGTTTTGAATCAGCTCCGATGAAGCGACCTACAATTGTATCTGCAATAAATCTTACATGTCCGAATTTCAATTTTGCAATTCAAATGTCAACTTATGGAGAATACTGGATGATTCTCGAAGATTAAGGTTTAGCAGAGACATCGCGGGGAAAAAAAAAAGGTGGACTGGAAAGATAATTTGCATTGCCCTGAATGAGAGAGAGACATTAGAGTATCAATTTCATTATATTATTCCCATTCTGCTGCCAACATGCGTGTCTCATAGAACGGTCAACATGGATCTGCGACTATCTCATTTTATATCAATATTCGACGATTCGAAATAGCTAATTGTTTTTTTGGGTAAGCATTCGAAGCAGCTAATTATTGAACAGTCCAAACGATTGAAATATGAGATATTATTTAAACCTACGTTTCCTTTTTCGCCTAGGCTAAAGCTTGGAGTTGGTGTACATATTGTAAGATGCCAAATTCGATAGTTAACAGCCTCGTACTATTTTTTATAATTATTTTTATACAAACATAAAACATTTAAAGAACTTTTATTTAATAATTTATCATTTCATGATATCTAAAGTGAAATCAGACGGTATATCTAAACAATAATGATTTGTTTTTATTTTTTAAAATTCTTATGGTTAAATTCTAATTTCTCAAACTTATTCACCTTTTTCAGATTGATTTCCACATAAACAACGTTATCTTTGTGTTTGTTCAAGCATTTTTTTTAATTAATTTAATAAAAATAATAATAAATAACTAAAAAAGTTATATATAAAAATATAAAAAATAAACTTTAATTCTTTTTAGGATCATATTTTCATAAAATAAAAAAATATTTAATTAATAGATTTTATTTTATTTTGACCTAAATAATCTTTTATCCGTTAAGATCTTATTTCTTTTAGTTCATTAAAAATAATAAAAAAATCTTAAAAAATCTTAAAATAAAATTTAGTCCTTTTTAAAATTATATTTAAAAATAATAATAATAATAATAATAATTTAAATAAATAAATAATAACCTTACTTAAATCTTTAAAAAAATTTTTAAAATTATCTTAACCATTCAAGATATTAGAGACTAACTTTGAGTAGTCAACTCTTCTTGAATTTCTTCCTTCAAATTTTGCTATCTTTCAAAAAAATGTGCTTGCTTTATTCAAAATCAGATTTATTTTTTAATTTTTAAAATTAATAAACATGATTAAAAAAGAGAGAATAATTATAGTTTTTTTTTTTTTAAAAAAAGGAGTAAACTAATGACATCAAAACACCACCAGCCGAAAACACATAGAAGGATAGGCAGGGAAAGGCAGACGGAAGAGATAGAAGAAAGAAAGAAGATCAGAGCACGCAGAGGCGGAAAGGCAGGACGAAAACGCAGAGCAGAAGCAAAAAGGGAGGAGAGCGCACGCAAGGAAGAAGACCAGAGGCATGAGCAGAAAACACGGAGGAACAGCGACACAGGCCAAAAACGCAGAGAAACAGAGGGTAGACGCAAAACACGATCTTCGGCCAGAGACGGAAGAGCAGAGAAAAGGCGGAGAGAGCAGGACACACGAGCGTTGACCCTAATTTCCTTTTGCCATTTGCTTTACCTAGCGCGAGCAAAAAAACAGAGCAGAAATGCGGACGCATGCAATCTGTTTTCCATCTCCCACGCAAGCCTTTGAAGTCGAACCTGGTAAGATTTCAGAGATTTATGAATTGCATTCCTCATCTATAAAAAGGATCTGAGTCTGGAACCGAGGGGGAGAGGGAGAGCTGGCCAGATTTCTGTGGAAAGAAATCGGGCAAGGAAAGATCGAAATTTCTGTGTATTTTCTAAAAAAAAGGACCGAGAGAACTGGTGGAACTCACGGCTGATTCGGGAAGTAATCTGAGGCTTTGAAGGCGAGAGAGGTTTGGGAAATTCTCAGCTGCTGCAATAGGTTCGAAATTCATGAATCCAAATTACTCTGACTTTGATCGATTAGCTAATGTTACCTGGTTGATTATCTGCCTCTTGTTCTTTCTGACTGTGATTTGGTGTTGGGAATCTGGAGTTGAAAATTAGATAGAATTTTTCTGTGTGTTTTCTTTCTTCGGTCAGCTTGCAGGGGAATCTGGGTTTAGCTCAATATATGTATGTGTTTAACAAATAATCTGGGTTTAGCTCAATATATATATGTATTGAACGAATGTTTGGGTTTAGCTCTGCATCTGTATGTGTTGGACGAGTGTTTATCCTGACTAAATAATTTGTACATGTTTGAAGTCATTTAAAAGCTCAAAGACAGATTAAAAATTTAAAATATCACTTGGTTAAAAGCTAGTTTCATGACTTGGTGGTTGGCATTGCATACACTATTCGAATTTCAATATTTAATGATGTATTAGTAAAATATGAGAGTGTGGTTATGGGTTTGAATTATACTGTTGCCTTTTTTATTTTTAAGTTTTCATGGATCACTATTCAATTATTTATAAGGTTAGATATGATTTTATGTTCCTTAGTGATTATAGAATGTAGTTCAATTGAATTTCTAACCTCATGGTATTTAAAAATTTATTATTGTGCTTGCTTGTTAATCATGAGAATTTGTTAATTTCATAGTGATCGTTTTGGGTATGATTGGATCATAATATTAATCCTTGTCCTTTTTTGATTTACTGGCCATGTAAGATTTTAAGAAATTTGCATAGACATTTAAAATGGACATCTACCATAAAAATCAATAAAGTTTTGCAAGTAGGTAAATCCAACTTGTATATATTAATATGGATTTCGATGATCCTCCATAATAATTAACTTTTTTTTTAACTTAAATCGATAAAATATCTAAGTTTTTTGTGTGAAAGTTCAAGAAATTTTTATAGGGATTTAAATTAATTGCATCATCATATGAAATAATAAATCCTCATAGATAATGTGATTATCAATTTATATAAAATTTTGTAAATAAAATAAAATAATAAACGTTTTTTAATGAAGTTAATTAATTAAATTAATATATTTATATGATGACCTTAAAATCTTTTGGCTATATGAGATTTCCTAATCTCTATAAATTGCTAAGATAATCATTATATCGTGAGTTCATAAGATTTTGCTATTATGATGATTATGAGTTTTATCATACTCTGTGAGTGATAAAAGTTTCATTGACATATCAAATAAATTTTTAATATATAAAAGAACATATATTAAAATAAAATATTTTATAAATAATTTAAGATTTCATATGATGAAGACAATATGTTAAAAGGCAATAAGGTAATTCCAATTATTTGAATGTCCACAAGTGATAATAAGTTTTTGTAGACATATTAAATTTTTTTAAAAATATATATATAACAATAATACTTTTTTATGTTGACAAAGTGAATTTTCAAAATAAAAAAAGGTATAGTTTCAAAAATATAAATTGAAATAAGAAAATTATTTTTGCAAATTAAATCATACCAACTCATAATTTATAAAAATTGTTTTGTTTGCTATTCATAAGTTATTTTTATTCCTCTTTTTATGAAAATTTAAATGAAGAAAACCATTGACAATATCCTTAGCTCGAACTATGTGGATTTTAATCCCCATCACAAGATATGTAAGCCTCAAAATTTGATTTTGAGTCAAGATCTTTTTCATAAATAAATAAATATTTTTTACTTAATTATTATCATTTTTATATCACATACATGAATAAGAAATGGATAATTAAAATTACTTTAAAACCATATTAATTTAGTAAAACAAACTTTAAGTAACCATTCTCACGAATGGGTGTTGTGGTATGGCTAACACCTTTCCCACATTCAATCGACTCCTGAACCTATTTTTTATTTTCATAGACTATCCTTATCTCATTTAAATGGTTTTCCAAAATTTTCTTCAAAATTTTGGTGGTTACTCTCATTTTTTTGATTTTCTTTCTGAAAGCTAGAACTTCCACTCTCTTGCACCGTCCGCGTCGCATTTTTCGAATGCGATAATCTTTATCTCTCTAACTTGATTCAATCTATCCTTTTTGTTATCAAACTAATTCATCTAA